CTCACGGCCCCCGTTTGCGTCCCACTGTTTGACGCCATCGTCTTCTAGAAACATTTCTTGATGCCCTGACCATGTGCGGGAGACGCGTTTCTAGAACAACCGCTGACGAACAGTACAGTGGTCGACGACCCTGGGCTGGGCCGGTTGAGTCAGTTCGGCAGTCGATCCGATGTGCATCCTTCCTTCGCAAACGGTATACTTATTCTTTTTAACGATCGAGATATTGCCGTCTGTGCGTGTTATCGTTCATGAGGAGTACTGCAGCTCAACACCCACAGAACGGACCATTTGCTCTCTCTTCTTCAGGTCCAGACTCGCACCAAGAGTGAATAGCAGCTCCTTGATTCTGCCCTCCCACAATACTCCGATATGCCAATCCTGATCGACTCTAGCCTTCAGCACGCCGGATACGTCGTCATCTGCAGAAGTTGTTGGGCGTTTCCAATCTGGACGCAACTTCTTGACCGCCCAATCTACGTCGGTCGTGCTGCGTAGACGCCAGAGTTCACACCCGAGCTGCAGCTCACTTTCATAGGAGTAGAAGTTGAAGTCGAAGCGGGAGGACAGGGCCAAGTTAGGGCCGGCCTTGACAGCATACGTGGAAGAGAGATTTCCCATCAACGGATTGAGCGTGAGCGTCATGGTATACGGGAAGCCCGCATGGTTGGGTAGGGTGGCGAACCTCACCCCTGTGCTGATTCCCCCGCTCTTGTTGAGTATGCCATAGTACAGCTCTGCACCTGCGCTGAAGCGACCATGCACAGGATCCACCTGCTCTGCAGCAACGGGTTCTGCGGGCGCAACTCTGGGGCCTGGACCAAAGTTGTAAAGACCCCGGACGCCCATCAACGCCGAGTCTGTGCTGTACATGTATTCCGTGCTGTATTTGCCGAAGTCATTTTGCAGTAGCGTCAGGATCGTCCCGCCGTTGTTGAGATTGGAGTCGCTCACGGCGGCGATCCTCAGCTGTCGCGTAGGAGTGAGGCGGCGGAGGTACAGGGCTTCGAGCCTCTGCTGTGGTAGGAATATGCGCCCATACAACAGGGTGTCTGTCTCGACTCAGCGGGGGTACGGGAAGGCAGTGTCATCCAGCTCACTCTTGCGGTCTATCCGGCGGCCAGCATGCCAAACTTCCCACGACCACTTCTCGTCCGGTCTCCGCAACTCTTGCAAATGCTTGTAGCCTCGTATCACGTTGTGGAGGTCGATGTGGGACGTCCTAAAGTCCTTCCGTAGTGGCAGCGACGAGTACAGGTAGGATACTGAGCCGTCGACTACCCCCACACTGCCTAGGGTGTACGAGGTTGCGAAATTGGGGGCGGCGAGAGAGGAGATTTGCATGCGCAGCCCACGGGGTATGTCAAAGTCGAGCAATGCTGTCACCTAGAGTCAGCATCCAGTCCAGAACGCGACATCCAGTGTGACGTACCTCGTGCCGACGCGTTCAATGCGCCATAGGAATTGTCGACGTTCCAGCCCGATGCCTCGTAGAATGCATGCTGCACGCTATCCATGAAATCCAACATCGCTCTGTTATCGATTGATCATCGCGAGCGGACTGGGGTGAGGTTGAGTGCGTAGACTCTGGAGAGTGCGAGAGCGACATCTGGATCCACAGCGGAGCAGCCGCGGTTGCACCAATCGGGGGTTCGCCAAAATCCCCGCTCAATTTTTTGGAAGTCGCGACCGCAACTTCGAACTTTTTCCTGAGCGCAATCACCAACCACAACACCCCCGAAATACCGCCACCATGCCCAAATCCAAGCGCCAGAAGGTCGTGCATCTTACCAAGACGGACAAGAAGGGCAAGGAGCTGTCTTTGAAGCTCTTTGCCAATGTCCAGGAAGCGGCGGATAACTTTGAGCACATCTTCGTCTTCGCCGTAGAGAACATGCGCAACTCGTATCTGAAGGAAGTCCGTCAGGAGTTCGCTGACAGCCGGTATGTCTGCGGGAGCGCTTTCATCCAATGCGCGCACGGCTAACGAATGCGCAGATTCTTCTTCGGAAAGACCAAGGTCATGGCGAAAGCGCTTGGCCTAAGCCCAGCAGAAGAGCACCTCTCGAACCTCTCCGAGCTCACCAAGCACCTCAACGGCAATGTCGGACTCTTTTTCACCAACCGCGAGCCCAGCGAGGTCATTGAGTACTTTGCCAACTACTCGCAAACCGACTTTGCGCGCGCCGGCGTTGTCGCTACGCAGACCTTCACAGTACCCGCTGGTGTAGTCCACTCAAGAGGTGGAGAGATTCCCGAAGAGGAGGACGTGCCGCTGCCGCACAGCATGGAGACTACCATCAGGAAATGGGGCATGCCAACGAGGCTCGACAAGGGCAAGATCATTTTGGATGTGCCCTACACCATCGCGGAGGAGGGCAAGGTCATGAACAGTCATCAAACAGCGCTGCTGAAGATGTTTGGTGTGGCCATGGCAGACTTCAAGATCGATCTCAAGGCCTACTACACCAAGGCGATTGAGCAGGTTACAGAGGTTGGAGCTATGGAGGAGTAAGAGCAAGCGAGATCAGCTTAGTTCAGTTGCATCATGACGGCGTTTCTTAGGCGTTCGGTTTGACCAGGGAAAAGTATGCTAGATGACTTTGACGGAAAGCTCGAGTCAAACCACGAGCACATCACAATATACCCTATTATGTTGGTCTTCAACTTCGCTAGACCCCTGCGCGACTGGCTTCCATGGCATACTGCATATATTGTTCAGTCGCCTGTTCTCTACTTAAAAGATATTAAAACCTGCTACAGCATCGCTAATCCAGCTAAAAGACCTCCCACGATAGCTCCAAATGTCTCAGGGTAGTTCGCAACACCTGCACCCGTCTCGGCCGGAACCGACGCACTTGCCGAAGTCTCATCCGCTGTAGGAGTCGCGGTGCGTGAAGTCCTGACCGATGTAGACGAGTGTGTTGACGAATGCGTCGAAGTATGCGATGTTGTAGAGTTGCGCGACAGCGTTGAAGTCGAGAGCGTCGAGTTGGCCATAGCGCTGCTCGACATGGAGATCATGACTGTGCTGCCGGAAGGTGTGAGAGTCGGTAAGTTTGAAAGTACCGGAGCGGACTCGGTGATGGAGGGATAGACGATGGTGCTAGGGCCAAAGAAAGGCGCCGTGTCCGGGTCGAACATTGGGCCGGTATCTACATCGGATGCTTGATTAGAGTTGAGATTCCAGGCATACTACATGCAAAACTATTGCCGTCGACCAAACTTACAGCTTGAGGTTGAGGCATTTTGCGCAAGCGCGGCGACCACCAGGCCAAACAAGGCAACGACCACCTTCATACTTTCTTTCTTGCTACCCAACTTGTCGCGTTGTGATGCACTAGTAACGGCAGTCGGCAGACGCGAAACCCAATAGTGATGCTGGCGGAACCTCGAACGTGTAGTGACGAAGATAATAAAAATGTATTAGGAAAGAGCGAAAGAGTCAAAAGTAAGGATCGACCGACGACTACGACCGCGACGGAAAGTGAAGCCCAGCACGCGCGCGCATCACGTAGGACCAGAAAACTGGTTCTCAGTGACTTTTAATCCCCATTCACTCCACCCTGCCCCGTCAGCCTGTTCTGGCCCTCCGCCCCTAAAGAGAAGGATCTCGTAAAGAACAAGCATATCAATACTCTCCCGCAACCCGCCCAATGATGGCCGCCCAGTCAGCGTGCCCAGAGGCATGGTCATCTCCGTGGGGCTAGACGTGTTTCGGATGGGGGCTCGTGTTCTCGTGTCTACATGGCTGCGAGCCCGAAAGTTAGTGGCGCCTAGTCCTATTGCCGCGAGACCGGCGCGGTGAATCTATGGATTGGACTTGGGCAGGCTAGAGGGCAGAAAGTGAGCAGCTGATGCGCGCGATGGGGGCTTGCTTTTTTGGGTGATGTCGATGGATGGCTTTGTGAATGGATACTAGTGAGCGTTGGAGGCGCGCATGAGTGGAGATACCCCACATGGCGCCCCTGATGGCTTGGCAGGTACAAGCGGGCGAGCAAGCGATGTGAGGACGCGTGCATGACGTGCTTCTTTTCTGAGCCCGCAGCACCACCGCGGGGCCTGAGACCGCTATCACACAGCTGACTCTGATATACGAAATGACGCCGCGGATCGTTAGATCTGGACTCTTCTCACAAAATACTATAGTGCTTGCACGGCCACTGCGGCTGCGGTGTCGAGCAAACTGGATGAGTTGTCTAGGTATCATCACTCCGTTCGCTCTCGAACATTTGTCTTGAACTCACTCACATGTCTTGCATGGAGCCCAACACCAAGTTGCTTGCTAACAATGAAATTGTCTCGGTTCTCAGCACATATAATGCAGTGTTCATGTACAGACAGTAGCGGTACAGCCAGAAGCGAACAGTACCTGACCAAAACTTGCGATGAACTTTCAGATCGGGAACAGCCAGCTCGGGGGCCTCGGTATGATGGCAGCCCGTCCCATCGAGCGAGGCGACCTCATACACACGGAAACTGCCTTGGTCTTTTGCAACACCGACTATCCACAAACCCAATGGTTGCTACCAGGTACTGCCAACACTTTTTTTGCCGCTCAGCGAGCAGCACCGAGCTCTGTATTGCAAGAAGCCGTGACCCAGCTCGAACCAGCGCAGCGAGGAGTATTTCGTGTACTGGGCCCACAACCAGGGCTTAGCAACACACGGGACCGAATCGTTCGTCGTTTTGAACACAACGCGTACGACTTCGATCGTGTCAACAACCCTCGCAGGATACACATCGTGGTATATGAGACGTTCAGCCGTATCAACCATTCCTGTGTTCCGAACGCTGCTCTTGAGATCTGGCCAAGGCGCACCGAGTTTCCAGAAGGCCAGGCCAGACTGATAGCAACCAGAGCAATCCCAGCAGGAGAGGAGGTTTTCGTGAACTACATGCCTAATAATTGGATGGATCACCACGCGACAAGGGTGGCAGCTTTGAGCAACCATTGGGAATTCAATTGTACATGCGTTGGGTGTACGCACCCTTTCATACCTATGGATACGTCTGCCCGTAATCTGGCTGCCACCTACCACGCGGCAATCGGTGCTATGGCAGCTGCAGTGACTGAGGAACAGAAGACTAGCAGTATCATGCACATAGAGACCTACATCAAAACCCTTGTTTCGCTGGGTATATGGGACGACAAATTGTCTCTCGCGTAAGTTGGGCCATTCAGCTTTCATGTCAGTGTTGCTAACAGTATTGAAACACAGTTGTCTAGAGCTCGCTCGACTCCACTTCGGTAAGTAGGATTACTTGAAGGCAGCGTCATCCGCTTATGCTGGTTCGTTGGTTGAGAAGAATTTCTACTCTCGAGATCTTAATCCACAGCTGAGTGAGTTGTTCTTAGAGTGTCATCAGCGCGACGACAGGTCGCGCGTCGAGTACAACAAGTCCGGCATAGGTCCTTATCCGCTAACATAGCGTGCTCGTTCCTGTATTCCGTCTATGTAGTGTATATACCATTTTGCTATATGTCGAATCGTTGTGTTCCTTTCGATACAATGAGTAGGTCAATGGTTCTTTCTCATTGCCAAGTTCTGTTTGTGCCTCCAAACTAGCAAACTCTTGCTGCTGGCAGGATAAAACGTTGACCTGACTTTTCCTCACGAATTCCTCACATTGCCCACATCAATTAAGGCTACCGACTTCAGGACAGTTATGGCAGCAGTCCCGCCTCCGCCACCAGTCACTGGGGTAAACGTCGTCAAGGGTGAAGGCCTTGTAGCACAGCAAAGGTTTGAAAAGGGTGCTCTCATCCTCGCAGAAGATCCGCTGGTCATGTGCGACACAGGCAAGAAATACAGTACTTGGGACAAAGAGGCCGTGCTTTCTACCAAGAACAACTCGAATACAGCACGTCAATGTTGTGGAAAGCATTCAATAAGCTCGGACTTTTCGACCAAGGAGCCTTCAACACCCTCTACACTACCAAACGCAAGGCGTCAAAGCTAGAGTATGTCGTGGATGCATTTCGACACAACGGATTCCATTTTGGCTTTCGAAACGTGAACAACACTCACATCATCATCTACCGTTTCGTCTGCGCAGCTTATCACTCCTGCATCCCGAATGCAACGGTCATGATCAACGATTTCGCTCCCGATGAAACGCTCCACCCAGGCCAAGCTCGACTAGTTGCTACACGCGAGATACCCGCCGGTAGCCCGATCGTAATCGACTACATCCCGAAGCTCTGGAAAGAGGATAGCGCCGCTCGCCAACAGGCTCTAATGGCGCGTTGGGGCTTCGACTGCAATTGCGAAGGGTGCAAGCCTGCAAAAGCCGTGATGGATGCATCGGAGCGGAGGATCTGCAGGGCGTATCATGAAAAAGGTCTTCGCTTGAGCGCAGCTGAACTTCGTCTCTACATCGCGTTCATGAGTAAGCTGGGCAAGCGGGACAAAGATCTATCGCGACTGTGGGTTTGCAAACCTAATTGCGTATTGACGACGTGCTAATATTTGCTATATAGATGTCTTCGACTGGCACACGACCATGAGACCCGCGACGAGTATAGAGAAGCAATGCGTATCGCTCAAAGTGGCCTTCTCGTGGAGCAGCACTTCTACTTGAAATGTCACTATGGCGAACTGTCAAGAATATGCGCTGACTGCTTTCTGGAAGACACAAACGTGCAAGCTGCGTACCGAGAGACTGAGAGGGCTGCTCGTATCTTCCTGGACTAACGTTTTCCGGGGTGGATTTGGATCATCAATTATTAAGTTGTCACACGAAGAGACTGTGGCGAGTGCGAATATACGATGTATGTTGGTGCAATATACATGATGCATCCACCGAAAACGACAGAATTCTAACCCCGTGTTGTACCTTGTTAGGCAAAAAGGACGGATGGCCTCACGCGAAGAGTTGAGTAGAAGCAGCACATCTGCCAGAACGTGTCGCCGAAAGCCTGACACACTCACAAGAAAGGAAAAAGTATTGAGCAGAGAAACGAGAAACGAGAGATCATGCGTATCACCTAGTACCCACCATAACCTCCACGTCGCCCACTCAACGGCACCCTAGCATGCCACTCATCATCTTCATACTGGAAGGCAGAGTCCCGCCTGCCCATCATGTTCGAGCGTCTGGCGGACCGCTCTTTCTTGTCTTGGATGTGCTCAAGAGCCGCATGGATGTCATTGAGTGCGTATCGCGCATCTAATTCGTCTTGGTCTCCAATCGTGCGTGGCTGGGGGTAGCTGTAGCCTTGCTCATGCCTATCCGCGAGGTATGATGAGGCGCGCACTGGCTTGGGTGGGAAGTGTGGTTGCGCAAAAGGATTGTGGATGTTGGGTGGATTGGCCATGGTTGCGCGGCGATTTGGTAGGCTTGGACGAGTAGTGTGGACTGGGTAGTCGTCGAAGTACGACTCTGGCTCGTGCATGTGTGCACGCGGGCTTCGCGGGTGTGGGTAGTCATCCACTGTCTCTTTGTGGTATCTAACCTTCTGTACCCGACGATGGTCAACGTCCTCGTCGTAGATATGGCTGGGGTGCGGCTGGCCGAACATGTTTGGCGACTTTCTTCCGTAAGAGACCTTCTGGCGACGATGAACGTGCGTGAAAGAAGGGCGGCGGCGTATAGGAGTGTCGAAGATACCATCATCTGCTGTGTGGACAGATGTAGTGTTCATAGACTCGGTGCCGCTTCCACGCTCTGACGATGAGTTGGAGGTCTCCCTAGCCATGCCGTGCGAGGAGGGATACTTTCCAGATCTCTTCTTCTTCTCGTTGGAGAGACCAACTGGTGAGGCATTACCGGAACGTGTTCGGTCTTCCACAACGTTGTTGGTGCTCAGGTGAATGTGAACAGGCGTCACTTTGTTGTGAGATGACCGAGACGAGTCGGTGGTGAAGGACTCTGGGCTATGCCTACCATTGCGCTGATCATCGATTATGTCTGAAGTGCGGTGTCGACGGGTGGTCTTTGCGACATATGGATCGACGTTGTTCTTGCGCGCACGGCTTCGGCTACGACTGCGACTAAGGCCTCTAGCTTTGCTGAGTGATCGATGTTTCTGAGTCTTCTTCGATCTCTTGCCGGGCCGCTGACGTCCTCGTCCACGTCGATCAGCATCTATATGATCATGCTCAATGTTGACAAAGCTGGAGTCTTCCGACTCAGACTCCCAGGAGTCACTGTCGGACGATGAGCCGGAGACATCCCGACGAACCCTGTGGTTTTTCTTCTGATGTCTAAGGTGATCAGGATTCAAGCCTGGGACGTGCCTCATGCCATTAAGCGGAAACTGCATCTGGTCTGGAAACGCACCAGGCATTTGCATTTGACCAAAAGGCGGGCCATGGGGCTGGCCAGGAGGAGGCGGGAGATGCTGCAGTGGCACGCCAGGCATGTGTTGGCCGGGTCCAACATTGGGTGGGGGTGGTAGACGACCCCCGTCGTGCTGTGTGGACATGCCGGGAGGTGGCGGTGGTGGAGGAGGGTTTTGTGGACCTGGCATTGGGTTCATGTTGCCCGGAGGTGGAGGATGCTGTCCTAAGTTTGGCGCGCCAGGATGCTGTTGATGTTGCTGTTGTAGGGGAGGTCTTTGTTGCTGTGGCATGTTTTGGCCGGGGTTGTTAGACGGGTTCGGGAACTGTTGACCTTGCTTGTTCTTGTTTGCATCTTGGGGCCCATTGCCCGCACCTCCGACGACAGGTCTCGCTTGCATAGGCTCCTGAAACCCAGAAGGTTCGGTCTCCAGAATGATGTCTACACGCACCAGCTGCCTTTCTCGACGGTTGACCGAGCGCCATTTGTTTACAACGCTTGCAATTCTGTATTGAATAGTTCTATTGTACCTCGCAAGCTCAACGTTCTGGTCCTCAACGAGCTCGTTGATGATCCGGCGACAGTTTGGGGAAGGGATCTCGTTCATCGCCTTCTTGACGTTATTATGGTTTCGACGAAACTTGTGCAGTTCGCTGTGGAGTTCCTGGAGTGCGACGTGTTGTTGCTCAGGTGTTGCATCCTCCCAGGAAGTGGCGTTCCTTGGCTTCTCTAAGATGAAGGAAGCCAATTGGGGATCGTAGTTGGCGAATGGGTTTAGAGGTTGCTGTTGGGGCTGAGCTGGCCTCTGCTGAGCCTGTCCAAAGTTCTGCTGTTGTCCAGAGCTCTGCTGCTGCCCATTCGGGACTTGTCGTTGTTGGCTGACATTCTGATGTTGATGGGGTACATGACCCTGGTACTGTCCCTGCTGTGGAGTCGCCATTAAATGGTTCGTAGAGGTTATGGGAGGGCTATCTTGAACGAAGGAAGTATAGCCGATGACTAGATGCTCAAGTGACTGAAGACTTGATGCCGATGATCGAAACAGGCAGAGCAATGTGATGAAGACACGGGAAGTGAATGACGGGGCGAACTAGAAAGTCTAAGGCAGAAACAGAAGGACGTTGACCGAAGATATAGATTGGGAGATTTCTTGTCATACTGCAAGATTGTAGCTCTTGATCTTTGCCCGGAGCAGTAGTAACACTTTGTTGATGCAAGCGAGGTTGTGGTCCCTATAGGAGTACAACAGCCACATCCAGTCGTTTCCCCGGGGGGTCTACATGAAACAAAGGTTTAATTGGTCGTATCGAAGGGCACTCGCAAGCCCCACTTGAGGGTGACATCAAGGCTCTCACCGGTCTAAGCCACCAGGCTGAGGGGGACAAACAGGCAAATAACCCCGCCCTCTTGCGTGAACGCGCAGCATAGCTTCGTTGCTACACGTCTTGAGGCTCAAGTTTGACCGGACCAGTTAAAGATCATATAAAATATGCATGAGCCATGCGCATGCATATTTGAGGATTCATAGCGGCTGCCTGTTGTTGCATGCAGCCTGATGGTGGTGGTGTTTGGATAAGGTCGCATATGCATCACAGCTGCAACCGTTGGGATTCGCCGCGAATGATTGATGTAATTTTTGCTTTGTTAGCCTGCCCTCCGTGGAGCTGAATCAATGAAGTCGTCGAAGTGTGAGAAACGTTCACAGTGCCAGTGCAGAAGAAGCGATCATTGATTGACCACGCTAACGGGGCGTCATGACCCCGCTTTTGATCCGTGCACGGCTCAACACCCCCTTTCGCCTCTAGCCCAGGTGCCAGCCAAAAGAAGGCAACTGACCACTACAAGCCACCATTGCAAGGTGCATGAGAAAGATGAGGACCCTTTTCTTTGAGTAACGAGTATCGATGGCTGAGACAGCGTCCTGCTGACGTCCAACCCGCCTGCTTGCCCTTCGTTCCGCTCGGCCAACGCCTCCAATCACCACCCACAAGTCGAGGTAAGAACCCGCTGGTTACACCGAAGTCTTTCAGTCACTGGTAGTTGTACCTGGTGATGCGTATGTAGACCCCTTATCTGTGTCTGCACTTATACCACTCAGCCCCGCTTGCATCACTGCTGGGCGTGTCGTATGTCAAACATTCTGGTGCATCGCCCTTTGGTGTATCGCAGTGCGATTCGATCTTTCCAGCCGATGTTAATCCGCCTACACTCCAACATGGACTTCAGACCGTTCTGCGGTGCGGCTCAGCGCGCGTTCGCGCAGTGTCGATCTACTACTGCACATCGCGTTGCTGTCGACCTGTTTACTGCAGTTCGACGCCCTTCCATGCACCTCGTGCCGCCCTCCAATCTTCAGCTCTCTATCCAACCAATGTCCTTCTTGCCGGAAGCTCGCGGATTTGATCGCTTTTGGAAGCCTATCGAACACACCGGATCCACAACGCATGACATGCATATACGCGGCTGGATGACATCTTTGACACGCAGCCTTATGCACGTCTGGGTTGCAACACCACAACCGTGTGAGTTCTAATAGGTGAGAGCGACTGCAGCTCTTACGAGTAGCCGCGATAGATACACAACATCGTTACGCTTCATGGCCTTCGCTCACCGGACGCAGACACGCCCTCGCTCATGCGCTTCTATCATGAAGATCCTTCATATCAGTCTCGGTCCGGATATTTCGGCTTGAACCATCTCTCCTGCGTTTTAAGGAGCATGACCAAGTCTCCGGTCCGAGCCAGTAGTTATACAAGTGCGTTCTATTGAGAAATCATGCGCTCACAAACAGCCACCTGAGCAAGGATGCAATCCTGCACCAGACTTGATACCGACAAATCTGCTAACGAACAGATTGAAGCGCGCCGGAAACACGAAGATCATGATTGGTATGAACATACTCTCCGACCCACACGGCATTTGAGAGGTTCGGCATCTCGCTGGTACGATCTGCGGGTACGTACATATCTGAGACACGGGCGAGCATCACGGCTTGCCTAGCACCCCCGCACGAACGCAGCATTCCGCCGACTTGGTATCGTTGCCTTGACCGCCAGACTGATCCTTCGACAGCCAAGTTCTTACACCCGGCAGGCCGCGGCAGAGGCAAGATGGCGTGGCATTACAAGACGATCTTAATCACGCTTTCGGTTACACACCCCGAAGCAGTGACTGACAGCTTGCGATCAACACTAGACGATCCGATGAGAGCAGGTTGGGTTGACCTTCCAGCAGCCAGAGACAGGTTTCCTGACAAGTTGTTCCGTCGGGCGATATGCAATGCATGCGCGGGGGTGTCATGGTGTGGCACATAACCAGCGTCGCAGAGCCTCAGAAAGTTACGATGGCAGCCTGGTTCGTTTACGTGTCGCCACCAAATGTCTGCTTCGCTTGCAATCATGCATGAAGGGTACTGAAGGACCATGAGCGAGCAGGATACGAATACTTCTCGCCTCAGAACGGGGTCTTCGAACACGATGCATACTGGATAAAGTGCGCGCCCGATACGTAACGACAAGCATGACCGGCTTATGGCCCTAGTCTTGCCTTCTATCCTGCCACAGGCAAATTCACATGCGTGCCTTGCCGCTTGAACCTAAGCGTTCGAGCGCCCCACCTCTCTTTGGCTTCGTCTAGTTCGAAGACATCCTCCCAAGGCTCGCCGACATCAACTTCATCCTGCTGGGATACGTTCGTCCAAGCATCATCAACTTCCGACGCACTGCTGACGATCTTGATACCCATCTCCTCCGCGATTTTTCTAACATCTTCGGCAGCCTGCTCTGCGCTTTCGTATTCGCTCTTCCAGGCTTTGAGCAAGATACTTCCAAGCCTAGCCTCCTCTAACACTTGAAGCTGATCACGCCAATCTTTTGCTGGCTTCGGTGAGCCGCCGTCAGGCGAAGAGAACGGGTCCCAATCTATGCCCCGTTTCCACTGCGCTTCGGCCGTGTGAGTGTTCGTCATAAGTTCCCAGACAAAGGTCGCCCAGTAGAACCTTTATCGTGATCATATAGTTAGCAAACCACCGCACGTAAGTCTTGACGCATGCGAGAATGATGATTACTCACAAAGACTCACGATGACTTCCACACGTTCGAGGAAACTCCGTGGGATAGTCGTCATAGTATATAGTGCCGCCATCTCCCGCCCATTCACAAGTATCCCAACCACCGGAAAAGTCTCCCGGGATTTCTTCGCTTCCATCTTCGCTCTCGCCATCACTCTCGTCCATAGGATATTCTGAGATTGGAGCCCCGGCAGCACGCCATTCCCGCACTCTTCGCTCTCGTCTCTCGTACCGCTTCTCCTTTCTCCAAGCCTCTCGTCTACTATCGGCATCAAGCTCTGGCCCATCAACACTAATGAAACCTGAGATAGCCAGTGAGTAATCGGGCCGCAACCACACGTTGGTAGACGAAAAGAATGTTAGGTATACAGAGCGAGAGTGAAGGTAGCTGATGGCGGACAGCGATTGTAAAGCCCACCGATAGTACAGGGCCAGCATGATGCGGTCCTCTCTTGAAGGCTCTATTGGAACAGGCACAGTCATGGCAGGAAGATCACCCCAGTGTGGTCCTGGTTCAAGTCTTTCGACGATCACTCCGTTGCCGGCGTCGCTATACACAAGGCCGGTGCGCCTACCATCTCGTTAACGTCATCACAGTACCGTTCAACACTGCACATACCGAACAATCCTTGGATGCCCTTCGCCAAGCAGCTCATAAGCTTTCCGTAGCCGTTTGATCCCCCATTCTGGTCTAGCCCTTGTATCATCATCTTTCGGTTCGTAGATGATGATGCTCTTCCCATCTTTGTGCGGTACTGCGCGTGCATGTTCCCAGAAATCACAGTACCAGCGTCGGGTGTCTTCTGGCTCTATGCTGGCTTCGGGGGGATAATATGGCAACTGCGTTGCAATCGTTCGCTCTTCATCTTCAGGCTGCGGCCCATTAAGATATGAAATTGCCGAACCCATTAGGCAGCACGAGAAAAGATGCTAAAAGGTTTAAATCAAAATACATCGCGTACTATATACACTGACCCTGGTGTTCCCGGTTGAGGTAAGCGCCATCGCGCCTCGTGAACCGTGCCAATGATGCCTGCTTGGCAGCCCCATCAAGCTTGTCCTAATCAGATCTAAGTTTGAACCCCAGCTTCCCGTCCTTGAACTCGAACATACCCTCCCACTTCTCACCAATGTCAACCTCATCGCCAGAGATGGTTATGCCCACCTCGGCTGCTGCCAACTCGATATCACGAATGACCTCATCCACGCTGCCATATTGTTCATTTCAAGCGCCGAAAAGGACATGTCCCAGTCTAGCTCTCTCCAACTGCTGGAAAACCTTGCGCCGTTCTCTCTCACGCATAATTTCGTACAAATCTGGCGCATCTTCAATTATGTGGCCTCCTTCCATAGGATACGTAGGTTCCCATAGTCCACCACGAGGCCCACGACGCGATGGCGATACAGCAGTGAAGTCGTTCGTCATAAGTCGCCAGACGAAAGTGGCCCAATAGAAGCTAGAATGCGGTTATGCGATTAATCGTGTTGTGCGCGCAGATTGTGGTTCGCATATACTCACATGTCTGCCTTTACACTTCCTGATGAAACTCCGTGCTCGGGAGTATCATCAAAAGGACCATCATATATCATGTCGTCCCCTACCCACTCACCGTCGCTCCAGTTACACTCCGATGCCATGTTATCCGGATCACATGGTTCTGGTAAGCCGGACTCTTGTCGTATTGCTTTCGAATATTCGGCAGCATCTTTCCAGAACTCGTCCTCGATCTCTGTTGCAGTGGCGCTGATGAATCCAGTCACTGCGAGCGAGAAGTCCGGGCGTATCCACACGAGTTGCGATGAGAAGAACCCAGTGTAGATGGATCGAGCATGCATGAGCCGGAAGGCGGAGAGTGCTTGTATTGCCCATCGGTAATACAGCGATAGCATGATCTTATCGTCGTGCGACATCGTTTGCGCTACTACAGGCACTGTCATCGCAGGCACCTCAACCCTCTTGAGTTGGCCTGGTTCCAGTCTTTCAACGACTACGCCATCACCCGAAGTGCTGTATAGCGCGCCGATATACCTAAAAGATTGAGCGCGGTCAAGTACGCGGGCAGAATCATACGTACCGAACGATGCGCGGGTGTGGTCCACCGAGCAGCTCGTACGCCTTTCGCAAGCGCTTGATCGGCCAGCCATGCCTCGATCTGGGGTCTGGATAGAAGCCGTTGTCTTCATCGCAGATGGGGGTGAATATGATGACTTTGTCCGTGTCTTGGTGTTGTACACAGTCCGCAATCTCAAACAAGCGTTCGTACCAAATGATTGGATTCGCTTCGACAGGGACAAGCTGGCCGTTACGCACATAAGGGTATCGATTCGGGCCATCATAAGGAGGCTTAGAGTCTGTTTTCGAAGGTTTGGATGAGTTGATTGATGAAAATATGGAGCCCATGACAGTTTGCTGGTGATGGAGTTGTTGAAGTCTGCATTATGAGAAAGCTGGTGAAGGTTATGGGGCCAGCAACCAGATATATGCGCTTTCAATGGGAGCTTTCGCGTCCCTAATATTGCGAGCAAACTATAGTCGTGTAGATTGCGATGCATCATAGGTCAGTCTGGAGTGGCAGGACAGAGAGACGGGATGAAGGGGCGCCCCGAAAGAGTAAGATCTGCGCTTAGTACAGAGATACCTGCTTGGCACATATAAAACCAACAAAGACTACCAGGCACCCACTCCAGCTGTCGGATTCGAATTACTCCATCGAGTTATGATTCGTGAAGGGAAGAGAATCCCCATTCATCTCGCCGGCCCTTCCAGCGTATTCCTCCGACTAGGCATCCTCGGATCCCTCTTCCCCATCGTAACTTCAAGCGCCTGAATTAAAGCCGTGCCATCATACCTAACAAAGTTCTCGCCCTCATGTTTCTTCCCATAGACGCGAATAGGTTCGATGCCAATACTCTTGAGCTCGTCTCGGTCGACTGCCGGCGTCCCTGGCCCTTGGAGATGGATGATGTGCGTGACGTATTTCTTGTACTGACTCTTGTCAAGAGGCCCAAACACGCTCTTGGAGTCTTCACATGCTTTCGCGATAGCGGCTACGAAATCAAGGGCGGAGTAGGGGTTGGACGACGGTCCTGTCTCGCGATCGATGGTCGAGTTGAGGATGAGGATCTTATAGCGGATCGCGGGGTTGCTGATGGCTTCGCCGATACCTTTGAGAACCAATGAAGGGATGATGGATGTGTAGAGCGAGCCGATGCTGTATATGACAGCCTGCGCGTCGTTCAATGCATTGAGAACCGTTGGGTTCGCGGAAAGCCGGATCTCTTGGCCATAAGGATTGATATACCAAAGTCTTTCGATTCTGGCTGGCAGCTCCTCTTCATCCGCTTTGGAGAAGGTAATGTATTGCTTTCGAAGAGTGGGTAAAGATCCGGGTAAATTGGCGTCTTCGATTCGATCGTGCTGTTCGGTCTCATCGATTATTGGTGCACCTCCCGATACCAGGGCTGTGGATATGGAAGGGTGTGAGATGGAGTTCTGGCCGGTGATGGTGTCGCCGTTTGCGAGGCTGACTGAGATGTGGTGCGTGAAGTTGGTGTTGATCGCCGGTAAGACTGATGTGTGACTGGGCACAGAACAGATGCTGGAGAGTAGATAGATGGCTGACTCAAATGAGCCAGTGAAGAGTCGAGCGCTGTGAGTGTCAGCTTCGAGGAGTTTGATGCGGGTAGGTGCGCTGAGGAGGATACGCTATGATAAACGTAACAGAGACGATGAAGTCGGAAATTGATCGATCATATGGATGGTACAAAGCAAAATGAGTGCATGAATTACATACCCAGTAAGAAACAAGTTACCGATACTCGCACCTGAGAAGTCAAAAGTCGATGAGGGCCGGCGACGCTTGACGATCTCGTATGCGACAACATTGAGTATCGATCGTATAAGCTCTTTCTTCGCCGTCGAGATGTTTGTCCAGAGTGCATGCTCAGCCTCTACAATCTGCAGCCATTCATCTCGGGCTGAAGAGCGTTCTTTGGGCAGTCTGTGGTTGAAGAAGGTCTTGATAGCTGCTTTTTCGCTATCATCGTGATCTGGGTCATCCGGGATCAGGCGGACAAGACGACCTAGACCGGTTAACATCTAGACCGTTGTTCACGAAGAACATTCTCGTACTTCTCACATCACCGATACCTGTTCATGTCAGTGTTGTGTTATTCCTGCCTTAGACGGCGCATACCTGGTCCTCCGAAGACGCGTATCAACTCAGACGAGCTGCCGCCGTTATCACTGATAGGGATGACATAGCTCAGCGGACATCTCTTGTCTTCTCTGACTTTCTTAAACACATCGACTAGATTGTTTGCAGCGCTTCCGCCCGAGAACACGACGATGCCTTTGCTTTTGAGGTTGCCGTTGGACATCGGCGAAGACGGCGTTGCGTGGTCGCCGTTAGGCGTAAGGAAGTTCTCGGCAGACATGACGAGATGCGTATAATGATGGTTGACCACAAGGGTCGTGGCGCGGGTTTATCAAGTCATGGTAATGTTGACAGGGTGTTCGTAAAGGTGGATGCCCTTCCATGAGCTCAGAATAGCAGAGGCAGGAGTCATGCACTAATCCATTAGGGTAGTGTCACGCGTTACGCGACTAGGCAATATCTCGCATTTTGAGCACAATTTGGTATAGGCGTTTGATTGAGATTTTGCATTTGTAGTTGGTTTGGAAATGAAATTTGTACAGAACGAGTCGCCATCCAAGATGTGGTAGAAGGCTGCTCTCAACGCATCCAACCCCGCTCATATTGCATGCCCATATCCGCTCATCATGGGCGCTGGAAGTAGCGCATGATAGTCTCAGTCCCATTGTAGTTGAGATGACGCTCTGGCCGTGCGTGCGATGCCCAGTTCCAGCTTCCCCTACCCCTCACACCACTGTCTCTTGCCATTGCAGGCCACGGCCGCCTAAGAAGTACCAGCGGCCTCCTCTCGCTCCTTCCTCCGCGCTCGCTTCTCGAGTAGAGCGTCTCGTCGGTCGGCTAGAAGGCGGAATTGGCGGTTCTCAACGCCAGTGAGCCAGTAGCCGAAGCTGCCACCGGCGCCGGCGTAGAGGGGGTAAACCCAGAGGGATTCCTTGTTGAAGAGCGGGCGCATCTCAATGCCGAGTTGCCATAGCCGGGCGGCAACGCCTAGCATATGTCGTCAGTAGAGGCCCTTGGGGTGTGCGCAGGCGGTTGGGGACATACCGAAACCGCTCCAGAAGAGGATCTTGTGAACCATGGTGAGCGGGTGTAGTCGAGGTAGTGGTGTCGGTGGGAAAGACTCCTTCTGTGCTGCAGCAGCAATCGGGGCGGGTGTCGTGAGGGCGCGTTGTCACCGCTGTACCAGTACTGGCTTTCTGGGCTGCGATGCTCCATCGTCAAGCTCCGGGACGCCAAGAACGAACCACCCACGCGGATGCGGAACCAAGGTCCGCCGACCTCACCTCCGCGACAATGCCGCCTTCACGCCTCTCCTGATACCGTCGCTCACTTTTTAGCTTTCGCTCTACAATCCATTCACTATTACCATTCTGAGCTGGCGCACCAGCCTAGCCCCCTACGTCATTCGCTGCTCGCCAGCCTTTCCCACCCCCGTCTTGATGCGCCGGGCCGCAACACAAACGACACAAAACGACTGATCGCAATCACGTAAAATCAACCATGGCGGAAGTCGGCCGCAAGCGCCCAAGTGAAAGCGATGGAGCTGCAACTATGCGCAAAAAGCTGAGGCCATCGGAACTGCCGCTCTCACAGGCGAAGCGATCGGCCATCGACAGCCTGGTGCACATGTTCCGTAAGAAGGGCGCATACGACGACATACGCAGAGACTTGATGAAGCAATATGTGTCAGGAGTAGGTGGCCAACGATTGATTATTGTTATATGCTAGGCTAACCTTCGCGTGCCAGCCTGCTAAGGATGAACTGCAAGCCGCCCTCAAGGAGCTCGTCGACCGCGAAACCGACCGAAATCCCTCGCTGCTGTCCAAGGATCCCCGAATGGCGACTACACTTATAGAAGGCGCGGGTGAGCGCAGCGACATCTACGGCAACATTATGAACACGGTCAACACCCTGCTGGACAAACTGATTGATGAGCATGGCGTACCGAAAATGCGCGAGTACCGCATTGCCGAAATAGGCGCTGAGGCGGCTGCTGAAGAGGAGATGCGAGGCAGTAAGAGCGAAGAGGAATGGGCTAGAGAAGCAGACACTCGTCGAGAGAAGCGTGAGGCCCGGAGAGAAAAGGAATTGGAGGCAGAGCGCGAGAGAGAACGTGAGGAGAGGGCAAAGAAGGAAGAGCGCAAGCGCCGCGAGAAGGAAGAGGACGACGCCCGTGAGAAGGCGCGACAAGAGGAGAAGGAGCGCAGGCGCAAGGAGCGGGAAGAACGCGACAAGGAAGACGAAGAGCGCCGACGCAAGGACCGAGAGAGAATTGACAAGGAGAGAGAAGAGGAGCGTCTACGCCGCGAGAAGGAGCGAGAGGAGCATGAGAAGAGCCGAGAAGCCCGTCTCAAGAAGATCCGCGAAGAAGACGCTGAGCGAGAGCGCCGTCTACAAGAGGAGCATGACCGAGATCGCGGCGGTCGCCATCGCAGTGGTCGTGGCCGTAGCAGGACTCCCGATCGTGAAAGGGACCGGCGTGGACGAGACAGGAGCAGGCGAAGGAGCAGGTCAAAGACCAGGTCGCCTGAACGCCGTCTGTCAATCAAGCCTGAAGACATCAAAGTTGACGATGAGACGGCATTGGCGCTCCTGCTACAGGAAAGTGAGCAGATGAAGAATTCACGACAACGGAGGCCTCTGCTTCCGCGATCAGAATCACTCGAACCACCTATGCGAAAAGCTCAGCCTCCCAAGTCGCTTGTTCCCCGCGATCCCGTGAAGGCTCGACTGGACAGGCTTGACAGCAAACCTGAAAGGTCACCCAGCAAAGACGCAAAGTCACCCGCTCCAGGTACGCCAACTGCGGTTGCGAAGGACGAAGATACCACAATGACCGACGCCCCATCCGCAACAGAGGCGGACAAGGGCCGATGGGATGGCAAGCGACCTGAGTTGCCTTCGAAGCGTGGCAGATCCCCCAGTGTCGCACGCAGCACGAGGGAGCGTAGCAGGAACCGATCGCAGTCCCGCGGAAGTCGGTACGACAGACGTGGCTCGCGCTACGACGACGACCGCCGTTCTCGACGTGACGATGATCGACATTCCTACCGGCCCTCAAACGACGGTAGACGACGCGATCGCGACGACCGAGATGAGAAACCGTCCCGTCGCGAGAGTCGCAGCCGCTCACGAGAGACCCACACCAGCCGCCGCAAGTCACGCTATGAAACGCGCAGTCCGTCGCCACCTCGAGAGGAGCGTCGCAGAGATAGAGAACGTGCCCGCTCACGAGGCGGCCGACGTGAGCGCGAGAGATCTCCTGCTTCCGGGCGTCGCCGTCGCTCCAGAAGCCCCGAGAACATCGACCGTTATGTACCCGGTGGCGGTGGAGGTGCTGGCAGTGGCAGTGCTCGGAAGCGCGAAGACAGCCGTGACCGCAAGCGCGACGACAGTCGGCCTCGCAAGCGTGATGATAGCCGTGACCGCGCACGGGGCTACAGGGCCCGGGACTATGACCGCTGGGATGGCGGTAGAGACCGTGGTAGTAGGCGTCTGGAGTCTGACTGCTACCAACCTGGCGGTGCTCCCGCTGCTGAGGCCGAGGATAAAGATCGAGAGCGCGATCGCAAGCCTAGGGAGAGAAGTCGGGAGCGGAGCAGAGATAGGGGACGTGATGATAGGGATAGACGTAGGCGGAGGAGCCGCAGTGCGAGGAGCCGTAGCCGAGACCGACGTCGCTGATCGGTTGGGAGGGGTTTGTTCTAGGATGTATGATTATTAGTAGGCATTTAATGTGCGACTTGCAGCACGTGTGCCTTGGAGATAGGCCACCGCCAAAATACATGGAGTTGCGAAATGCTTTCGCTCAACGGCGAGCCTGTGTTCAACACCTCAGGTAGCATATGTGGGGAAGTGGCAGCGAATATCCGTGGCATTTCTGCAACTACTGCCGTATCCACCACTAAAAAAAATGGCAAAAAAAAGGCAAAAACATACAACAGCGGGGATTCGCTAGTGGTCACCCACCTAACTACTAATCCGCCGGTATCATGCTTGTATATGGCTGAGCGGACGGGAAGCCTAATTTTCATGATCCTATGGTCGTATGTGCAGTTTCGAGCAACTTTAGGTAATATAACGGTTTTGGTAAAAGAAACCAGACCACCCATCCCCCCTCCCTCATCTCACCCCCAATTCCTCGCCGTTCTCCCCTCGTTATCACTCAGAGTGTCCACCTCATCCACCGTCGTCTCAACAAACTTACCTTCCTCTGCTACCGGGACATCGTCGTCGTCGTCGACTTCCCACATCACAAGCCTCTTCCGCTTCTCCCTTAGCAATCTTACCTTTTTCCCTCTCCTCGGCGACTCAGATCCAGTATCAGACACAAGTGACGGCGAAGGAGAGACCGGCCTACTCTGACAGCTACTCCTCAACGCGCTTTTCGATCCCGGTAGAAGACACCTCTCTCGACTCGGCGTAGGCGGCCGATTACCCACCTTCCCAACCGGAGTATCCACTTCAATCACCCCCAAATCTTCTCGCTCAACAATCGGCGTCGCAGGCTCATCTTCCACAACTAGAACCTCATCTCCAAACTCCCTCTCCCACTTCTCCTTCTGCCAATCCCGCATGAAACCTGGGTTGATACTCAACCACTTCCGTCCTGCATCCGCAGTCCCGTCAGGCGTAGGCATACCCTCTACATGCCAGTACAGAAGATACGTGTAGCTTCCTGCATTCCAGCGTAGACCCGTGAAATCTTCAACTAGTAGACCGGTGGTTACGTACCACTCTATATTCTTGACCTGCAGGGCAGCAAAGGCTTCCGGATCGCCGATGCGGAAGCGCGCGTTGGATGGGAGGGTCCAGCGGAAGGGGAGGGGATGCGGTTCGTGAAGCGATTTGGCGCGGTTGCGGAGGGAGTTGGGAATGGTTTTGAGGAGTTTGTCGGTTGGGGGTTGGTTGGCTGGGCCGTGAGGGATGCGAGATTCTGTTTGGGGTGCGAGGAAGGCTTTGACGGATGACGAGGTGCTGGGGTCTAGGGCGTGGCGTCGTGCTCGGGTTGTGGAACCCATAACATCTGAGCACTCATCTTCGTCCACTACTTCTAGTGCACTGCCTTCTCTTCGCAGTGCAATCGATGCATCTGCCAGTAAACCCAACGTGAAGGTACCCGTTGGAATAGTGTCTTCGGGGTCGAATGCATGGTCCAAACGGCTTTCTGTCAAGGCTCCTCGGCTGACTTCTGGGATAACTGAGTTATTACCGCAGACCACGAGCTCACCAGTGACTGTACGCATCAGAGGAGGAGCTGCTTTCGACTCTTCCCGAAGATCGACTTTTGTGAAAAGGACAGCAGATAACAATAGCAAGGTAACGAGAGAATGTCAAAACAATGAGCAATGGCGCAATGGAGGAGGGTGTAGAATGATTGCGGTGAGACTGAACTTTTACCTTATCCATGAGACTGCTGTGAAGGGCTGGTATGGAGACAGAAGACCTGGCTGGCTAAATGACGTTCTGCATATTGAAGACTACGCTGTTGATAACCCATAATTTTCATACAGAAGACTTCAATGTAGTTAACAGAAGAGTCGTGTACTACGACTTTAGTATATCAAGCTGGTGGTATTGATCACCTGGATCCCGCTGTCCCAACGATGTTGATGAATGTATCGTGAGGTGGGCTGTGCTGAGGCGGCACTTGAGTGAAAGCACCACTATACTTGAAGCTGCCTTTGAATCGACTGTCCAAGAATTGACGATATCGGGCCTTTGATGATACTTGGCGTGAGTGATGCAAGGTCAGAGGTCGGTAGACAGAAGCAGGGACGGGTGCCAAGACGGATAGGCGAGACGATCCCGGTAAGACGTGCAGTGGCGTACAGGCTTGGGGCGTCGCTGGGTCACGTATCTCGTCCATTGCGCATGCGACTCCTCCCGTATTGGCTGACCGGCCTGCTGCCTTCCCTTCGACGTCCTTCTCTTTTCACTCGCGGCTGCCCTTGGCCACACGCTCCTTCACATCTGCACCGGCCCTCCGCGTTTCATGCCCGTTTTTTCTTCTGCATACAACCCTGCTTTCACCTACAAACTTTAACTTGGCGCTGCCGTCATGTTCGTCCCCGGAAAACCCAAGATCAAAACGAGAACCGTCCTCGTCAAGAAGGCGCCCGCCCCCACAGCGAACCCCTCACCATCGCCGCACGCGAGACCCGGCAACGGCACTCGCAGCTACAGCGCATCCGGCCCGCCAGCGAACCGATACCAGTCCACGCCGCGCTCGCAAACAGTCTCGCGGGAACCCGCGCGCAAGTCGGTTTCCGTGTCGCGTGTCGAGACCAACAAGCGTAAAGGCACCGACACGCCGCAATGGGCTAGCAGCGACGAGTCGAGCGAGGATGAGGATACCAGTCGGCTGGGCGTCAAGCGACGGAAGACGCGGCCAGCGAGTAGTAGCACTGAGCCGATGAGTCTGAACCGCGCACTCGAGCCGGACTTGAAGCGACGTATACGGATAGTAGAGCCTGATGCCAAGGCGAAATCGAATGGTGTCAACGGCACGTCGAATGGAACTGCGAACGGCGCCTCGAACGGCACATCAAATGGCGCGTCGGATATGATGAAGATGGCGCAAGAAAACGCCGCATTCAGAAAGAAGAAGGCCGTGTCGGGTAAGAGCACTCTGAAGCACGGCTTCGAGATGACGAAAGACGATGGGGCGAAAGCCTACAAGTCCGCATTCCCCGGTAGCGAGAAGAAGTTCACCGTGGAACTCCAGTACCCCAGCCTGTCACGTCCAGAAAAGTTCGAGGCAGTAGCTCGGAAAGAGGTGGACGAGGAGTACAGTCCACTGGAAGACATCTATTTCAGCATAGAGGAAATCATCCAGCACTACCTCCCGCCCGATCTCGCCAACGAGCTCTCCTCCGACGCCGAAGGCACCGTCCGTCTCCTCAAGCGCGCCGTAACCAAAGACGACCCCGAACTCTTCAAGCAAGAACTCGCCAAGTTCAACAAGCTCATCAAAGACCAATACGCCAACGGCACGATACCCCGCATCCTCGACGACATGCACGCCATCCCCCTCAGCCTCGTCAAACGCATCACCGCCCAAAGCTACAACCGCATCGTCTCCCCGCACGCCCACCGCCTCCGCAAAGTCGAAGGCAAAGAAACAACCTACGGCGAACTCCTAACCCCCTTCGTCCACAAAATCTTCGCGCAAACCGGCCTAAACTCCACCCACACCTTTGTCGACCTCGGCTCCGGCGTCGGCAACGTCGTCCTGCAGTCCGCTCTCCAAACCGGCGCCGAAAGCTGGGGCATCGAAAAGATGAAGCTCGCCGCCTCGCTCGGCACAGAACAAGCCTCTGAGCTCAAAGCGCGGGCGAAGCTGTGGAACATAGCCCTCCCCCGCATCGAGCTCATCGAAGGCGATTTCCTCGAAAGCCCTGAGATTGACGCTATCCTCCGCCGCGCTGACGTTGTGCTGGTCAACAACAAGGTGTTTGGCGAGACGCTGAATAATCTGCTGTTGCAGAAGTTTCTCGACCTCAAACAGGGTTGTAAGGTCGTTAGCCTTGAGAGCTTTGGCGGGGGTGCTAAACAGGGGGTTAGGAACGAACAGAGTATTGCTGGGCTTTTTGATGAGGAGAGGTTTGAGAGTGGGACGAATAGCGTTAGTTGGGCGGGGGAGAGTGTCGAGTATTTTATTGCTACAAAGGCGCGCTGAGGCGGGTTGGCGATTTGATTGGAGATGGTTGGTGAGTTTGTGTCATATAAGGGGATTAGAGGATATGGGTCTTTGGACATATTATCCTGGATTTCTCACAATACAGTCGTATGGGAGAAGCGTGGGATGGGCAATTGAGCGAGCAGGGCGAGACAGGTCACTCTGGAGCATGGCACACTTGGCGTTTGATTTAACATCAATACCCCTTGATCTATCTTCTCTTTCTGTAGCTATTTCAGATCAGAATCTATAAACATATATGCATTGGATCGCTTTCGATCTATACATCTCCTACTGTGAACGCTCTGCTATGCCTTGTAAATATGCCGCTCTATGTCTGTTGCATCACTCACAGCATTCAGTCTAATGCAAGTCATCTTCTCACAATCTGTACTGTCGTATTATATATACCGAAGGATAGTAAAGAGCAATAATCCGCTCCGTGTATGTACACCAAGATATTACCCAGTCGCCCATCCCACCAAACACCAACACCGTATATGCACATTCAACCTCCCTTTCCGACTACAAACTCGAACTCAAACCCATCCACCGTATATATAAATCGTAAAGGAGCGTGTATCGGGTATCTGAAAAAACCAATGCCAACGAAAAAGGAGCGACGTCGCTAATGTACAAATAAAGTAGTAAAAAAGCCTGAAAATGCAAAGCAGTCGTGTTTCTCGTTATGTATACCCTCTTTTCCATCTTCATCTTCTTTTCCTGTCTCCATCCTAATCCTCATGCTGATAAGAAGGAAAAAGGCCATACGACTTGCTCACTTGACTTAATCTAAAAGAACAAAGCCATAGCGCCCAAGCCCACAGCGCCAGCAAACGGCACGCCATTCACGCCCGCAGCACCCGTCTGCACACTGGGCTGCTCCGTCGAATCCCCACCATCACCTCCACTCGCCTGCGTCGCCTGAATGGGGTCCACAAACGTATAACTCGTCATCGTGCTCGGCCTCCCCTCCGCATCCGTCGTCGTAATCAACTTGATGCTGCTAACGAGCCCACCACCAGGCGTATACGTAGTCAAAAACGTGCTTCCCGCCTCATCCGTCGCAGTCTGTACCTCACCGGCGGTAGGCGCGTAGTCAGCCGCAGACGTGGTAACCGTTGTGCGGCCTGCGGAATCGGTGGTTGTGCGGATTACGGCGGGGCGGTTCTCGGTTTGGGTGACGGTGCTGCCTTGGGAGTTTGTGCGGACGAGGGTTACGGGGACGGAGGCGGTTACTTCGGAGAGGACGCGCGTGGTGCGGACGACGGTTGTGCCGTCTTCGGTTATGGTGGCTTCGACGGGGATGATGGCGGGGCGTTGGGTGGTGGTTTGGCGGACGGTGGTGGTGGCTTGTTGGGTTGTGGTTTGTTGTTGCGTGTTGGTGACGGTGGAGGGGGGTGCGTCGTCCGAAGGTTGCTGCGATTGTTGGGGCTGCTCGGTTTGTTGAGTTTGTTGAGTTTGTTGAGTTTGTTGAGTTTGTTGAGTTTGTTGAGTCTGCTGCTGTGTTTGGGTCTGTACTTGGGTGACGGTGGTGCCTTGTTGCGTCTGGACCTGCGTTACGGTGGTCTCGACTGCTGGTGGAGGGGCTTCGCTCGCCTGTGATGAAGGCGCGTCTTCGGTTGTCTGTTGTGGGGTTGAAGCTTCAGTGGCGGAAGCCGTGCCATTGCCCGGCGCCTGCCTCTTCTTCAGGTCGTTGACAGCGTCGACAATGAGCTTTGTAGCGAGCGCTGGGTTGTTCTCGTGGACATGTTCGACGCCGCGGTGGTGCGACTCGAAGACACCATTCTTGAAGTCCTTCAGTCCGCTTAGTGCTGCTTGTAGAGATTCCTCTGGCAGCGCGTTCAACAAGTCCTGGAAGGCTTCCTGTGCAGTCGCATAGATGGTCTTTGGGTGGTCGTCTCGCTTGTTTGGTGAAGCAGCAACGGCAGTGCTGAACAATGGCAGGGCCAAAACGGCCAGCTGACAGAAGGAACGCATCGTGGTGGAATCGGCGTGCGGAACGAAAGCGAAGGTGGATTCTCAGCGAAGAAGAACAGAAACTGCGACAAGCGTGTTAGCAGGTCGTCATGACTGGAATCAAGGCCGTAAATTGTGTACAAGAAAAGAAGTCAAAAGCGCAATGGGCTGATGTGATTGCGAAGACGTCGCGGACTGGAGAGCAGGCTTACACAGAATCTGTCGCTTCCGAGTGGCTGGGTTGCAGGTGTCTGACGCCACAGCCCGAGAATCGATAGCCTGTAGACTTCTAATGTTCAACGTTCCCGTTTCTTTTTGCCGACGAGGAAAAGAAAGCGAGCGTAATTATTCGTTTGGTCGTTCGGGGTGATCTCAACAACGAGTGTGGTCTTCCCAAGAGTCAGTCGAAACAAGCGGAGTCGTAGACCGTAAAGTCGGTAAAAAGGCGTTGGAAGCGTGTGATAGTGATGAGGAGAAACGGCAGATCAGTCCTTAAGGCAGAAGGCGATACGGTTACTGTACGAGTTGAGCACCAAGCATCTTTGGGTAAGGCGTTGCTGATACAGGTGCCGCTAGGTGCGTCTTACTTGACAGAAACACGAGGTTTGGACCCGCTGTTTGTCATGGATCCCATCGTCACTTTCGCCTCTTGACCACGCCCTAAACAAGCCAAGCTTCAGCATCCCGATTTTCCACTGAAGATCATGCTCCAGTGCTCTCCACTGAACTGACAGCTGGAACTATTGGAGTGCATCTAGTTCTAGTAAATGTTCGCGCACACCGAGTTCCAAACTTCTTCACACCAGCCCTTCCTATCGCAACGCAACCGATCAGATTTCAGACGATTGTGCCATTGAAACCTCGGCCTTGAAACACGAACCAAAAAAAGTTGGCACGTAAACCTCGGGGTCGGTATATGCAACACCCCCTGCAACTGCAGAAACGGTAGGAGCCTGGAGCCTTTTCCGCACCAGTACCAGCGACCTCCAGGGCTCGCTTGTTGGAAGCCAGAACGCCAGAACGTCATGCATGGACCGAGCCACCGGGGGACGGCGGGCAAGCTATAATCGGGGTGGACGTCCCAATTCGCTCGCCGGAGTCGCTCTGTTCGCATGTTGAAACCGTGCTGAGGCTTCCACGGAGCACTCGACGTGTTGGTAGTCGCTGCCATGTGTGCATTGCGATGGCATCGTCATCGCAATCTTCCAACTACCAATTCTTGGTCCAGAAGTATTACCTGTGGCATTGAGATTTGCTTTTCCCAACCATCATCATCTCCTCGTGTTCAAAGCAGACGAGACAATTTGTTCTCGCTTTTCTCTCGTATCTCACACACCTTTACCTTTGCTATCCACTCCACTATCCACTAACAAACGCGTATCTCACACATCTGCAACTCCGCTCCGCTGCCAGCAGGCGTGATCTATTTTTACTCAGAGACAGGGCATGATTGGGACGCAGGACGGGGCTAGCGCCGAACTTGAGAGAAGACTGATGACTGCTGCGCATTGCAATTCGAGACTAGTAGATCAGCAACATCAAAACGCGCACTGCAAGACTCGATTTGCAGTGGCCTAGATGCATCTCACTGGTGGGGATACTGGATATGCAACGACGCAGACGCACCATCTAGACATTTCGGCATATCGCGCTATAAGTCTATGTTCATGTCGCCACGACGCTATAGCTATTTGTGCTTATGTTGAGGGATTGATGCGGACTTCGGCAGCGACGGCAGCGCGGTCGTTGGACGGCATCAATACTCAACATGTAACGTTGCTTTTTCTACTGTACTAATCAACGTGTGGGGTATTTTGCAATACACCTACTGTGCTCTTCAGCTGATGTGTACATGTACGGTTTCATTGATCAATTTCGAATAATCTCGACATTGATCAGAATTGCTGTTCCCTCGTTTTACGACATTTCAAATGCTTTGAAGCTTTGGCACAAGTACACAGTGAATCATGAAGAATAAGAATGAATTATCATTGATATGTGCCACAACGCTATGCATCATCGCAACGCTCAGAGAATGCTCGCTAGCACGCTTCATCGTTTCATGGCAAATATGCCGTATGCAAAATCTCCCATGCCACATACACACTTTTTTCTTCGCCCATAACGGACTGTCAAGGGTGCTGTGCACATTTCTACCCATCAAGCTCAATCTATGAACACCCTGAATCCCTCCATATCCTTCCGAACCCATGCCTTCGTACGTCATTGAGGTCGACAGCGGTGGTCGCGGTCTCTCTAAGGCGCTGGCTCGCCTCTTGGGACGAACGGAGGTGACGACTGACCATCAGATGACGGTGCATCAGAGTTTGTCTCCCGGTTCACCGTCTGAGGCGTGACAGTAGTAGTCGAGTTGGAGGAAGAGTGAAGAGGCCCCGAAGGTGTTGACACTGGCTGAACAGGTTCCGAGGTAGTTGCTGAGGCCCCGGGCTGGGTCGCTGCGCCAGCTTCTACCTGCTGCGTACTGTCGACATTTAAAGGTGATGGTGCTTTGGCGAATGGCTGCACAGGAGGCGTTGTAGTGACTGGTGACTTGGAGTTCCTGTCCGGAGATCGCGCAACTGATCGGGGTTCAGTCAGTGCAGCTGGGAGATCTGTCCGCAGAGCCATGGCAGGACTCATCCTGGGCTTCGGGCTTCCCGGCGTAGGTACGTTCGGGGGTGTTGGACTCATCCCGGTAGGCGTGACGTCGCTGGATTTGTCTGCTTTAGGTTGGGGCTCTTCCACTGGTGGTGGCACATCCGGTGCTCGTCCACGAACGGCGAAGGATTCTTGTGGATTCATCATGTTCTGTGGAGAAGGGAGATGACTCGAGCTGCCCGGTGGGCTCTTGGCTCTTTCTCTCCTATCTAAACGTTCTTTGTGATCCTGTCTGCGCTTGTGGAACCAGTCGAATGCACCTTTCTTGTCGGATTTGTCGTGATCAGGGGGACTGCTGCCGAATAGCATCGACGTTTCCGAGCCGTGATTCGACTCGTACTGCCCACTTCGGCGCCCTCCTCCTGTCCATCCAGAACTGCTGG